GAAATCCATGAAATATTTGATTACCTCTAAGGACAGGATATGATATTAATTATGCTCCATATCATCCTATTACATATTCTGTTAAAAATTTGATTCATCAGTGTCTTAAAAAAACAACACCCATTATAACTATGTAGAGTTTATTACAGTAAATACAGGAGAGTTCGCTATTACAAAACCGATCACTATAATCTTACCATATTAACAGATTAAGGAGAAAAGCCACCTGATCATCTCCATATTCGTAAAGAAGCATTAGATAAAACTGAATACTTATTCATATTTTAAAATTTTCAAAGAAACAGGAATAGAAGGAAACATATAATAAAAGGCATCTACCTAAAACTTATAGCAAACATCAAACTTTAAAAGCATTTTTATTAAAGTCAGGAATACAACAAAGATTCCCACAATCATTGCTACCATTCCACAACATAATAATTATTCTAATGGTTACAAGACAAGAAAATGAAATAAGATATAAGAAAGGAAAAGACAAATTGATTTTTTTTTTAATCCTCACCTGAGGATAAGTTTTTATTGATTTTGGAGATAGAGGGAGGGAGAGTGAGAGTGGTAGAAACATTGATATGAAAGAGAAATATTGATCGATTGCCTCCCATATGCACCCTGACCAGGGACAGAACCCAAAACCTAGGTACGTGCTCTGACTGGGAATCAAACCTGCACCTTTTGATGTACGCGATGATGGTTTTATAGATATTATTTACATAGAACATTCAAGAGCAGCTAGTGAAAAACTAATAGTATTTATAAAACAAAATGCAGTAATATTGCTGGCTGTAAGATCAAAATACAAAAATCAATAATTGTCCCATATGTCAGAAATAACTAAATAGAAATGAAATTTAAAAAGAAATAATTTACAATAGCAATAAAAATTATGAATTACTTCCTTTAAAAACTAGCTAAAGATACAAGAGCTTTAAGGAGGAGTGATAAAATATTATTAAAGGTTTAAAGTGAAATCTGAAAAAAAAAAAGGAGCAATATGTTATGTTTTTTTCTGAGGAAAAATTCATATTGAAAAGATGTCAAATTAACCCAATGAAATTTGAATAGAAATCTCTATAGGATTCTTTTTTATCTATTAGACTAATTCTAAAGGTGACATCCAAGAACAGCCAAAACAATACTGAGAAAGATAAGGAGAGTTTCCCTATTAGATATTGCAACTGACTATACAGCTTAATACCATATGGCCCAGCACCTTTTCTTATATGTATGTAGCCTACTGTACTTACTGTTTATGGATTTATAAATTTATAGTCCGTGCATAAAAACATAGACTCAATGGATATACATCAAATTCATAATTATGGTTGTCTCAAGAGAAGGAGGGGACTGAGGTTAAGAATTAGAACAGGGGAATTTCAACTTTTTTTTTAATTGAAGTATAATTGACATACAACATCATATAAGTTTCAGGTAAACAATAGTTATTCAATATTTGTATATATTGCAAAATGATCACCACAATAAGTCTTGTTAACATCCCTCACCATACATAGCTACAGAATTTATTTTCTTCTAATGAAAACTTTTAGGATTTACTTTCTTAGCAATTTTCAAATATGCAATACAGTATTATTAACTATAGTTGCCATGATTTACATTTATTTGTAACTGGAAGTTTGTACCCTTTGACTACCATCACCCATTTTCTCCGCTCCACCACCCCTTGCTTCTCTAGCTACCACCAGTTACTTCTCGGTATCTATAAGCTTTTTTCTTCTCTTTTCTTTTTTTAAGAGTCCACATATAAGTGAAATCTTATGGTATTTGTCTTTCTCTGTTTGACTCATTTCAATGAACTTAATGCCCTCAAGGTTCATTCATGTCACAATGGGAAGTGAAATTTCATTCCTTTTTATGGGTGAATAATTTCAAGCATATATCTATATAAACCACATTTTCTTTACCATTCATCTGTCAATGGATACTTAGGTTATTTTCATAACTTGGCTATTATAAATGATGCTGCAATGAACATAGAGGTGCATATATCTATTTGAGTTAGAGTTTTTGTTTTCTTCAGATAAATGCCCAGGGTGGGATTGCTAGATTATATAGTAGTTCTATTTTTAATTTTTTGAGGAACCTCCATGCTGTTTTCTATAGTGGCTGCACCAATTTACATTCTCACCAAGGGTGCACAAGGATTCCCTTTCCTTCACATCCTTGCCATTTTTTGTCTTTTTGATATTAGCCATTCTACCAGTGACAGATCATTGTGATTTTAATTTGCATTTCCATGATGATTAGGAATGGTGAATATCTTTTCATGTATCTTTTGGCCACCTGTATGTCTTATATATCAACTTTAAAACACATGTTCCATTTTTAAAATATATCTGAAGCAGAAACGACAAATGTGAATTCTAGGCAGTGGTTACCTTGGATATGAATTGTTCTGTGAATGCTTCTGCATATTTTAAACATGTCAAAATAAAAGTTATTTGATTCTAAAAACAGAAACAAAATGTACATCTGAAAGGGGTGTGGAATGGCATCAAATGTAAATTGTGGTTGAAAATAAAATAAAATAAAAATAAATAAAAAAATTAGAAACAAAAAGCCTGTGTTTATATTCACTATTTGCTGGGACTTGCTTTTTAAGTAACACTATTCATCTCTAGACGTTTGGAATTTGGATTGCTTCTGTAATTTTAGATGATTTCATAAAAATTGTTAAACTTTCAGCATTCTAAACATTCTAAACACTGTTTCTGAGATAAAATCATGTTTTTGTTTTTTACCATTCTTTCTGAGATAAAATCGTTTTGTTGTTTTTTACCATTCTTTAAAGATTAGCTGTCTTTAATAAATACAAATATGTGGTCTTCGTACCAGGATAAAAATTTATTGTGGATGTGTTTACAGAGTTTAGGTCCCATAGAAGATAAACAGGCTCAAGGTATCTCCATGTCTTGGAACAAAGGAAGATGTCGACATACTGCTAAAAAATTTAGCAGAAGTTTGCCCCCAGAAAAGCCTTGAGTAAGCACAAGGGCAGAGTGACACGGATAACTGTGGAATGCAGTGACATGGGATAACTGTGGAATGCAGAGAAACAACGGCAGCTGGTCTGCATCTTTTCTTGACGTTAAAGTCACAAATACCAAGAACTGTTTTTAGAGTGAGCAGATCCAGTGTGCTTTCTCACTTTTTTTTCTTTTACTTCCAGCAATATTCAGTATCATTACTTGACTCCTCTGGTTCTTTAGACACCATTGTATGGCCCTGTGTTATTGTGATAAAAGTGAGAGTTTGTAATTTTTTTAATAAAAAAGTTTTAAAATAGTAACTTTTATTTTTCAATTACAGTCGACATACATTACATTAGTTTCAAGTGTACAATAGAGTGATTAGACATTTATATAACTTACAAAGTGATCACCCCGACAAGTCTACTAGCGATTTGACACCACACAAAGTTATTACAATGTTATTGACTATACCTTTACCTCCCTGTGCCTATTTTTACAACAGGTAATTTGTACTTCTTAATCCCGTTCACCCTTTCCACACACACACCCCCCCATCTGGGGACTGCCAATTTGTTCTTTGCCCGAGTTTGTTTTGTTTATTTGTTAATTTTTATTTTATCCTCACCCGAGGATATGTTTTTATTGAGCGACAGACAGACAGACAGAGACAGACAGACTGGCTGCCTCCTCCGCATGCCCGCACGGAGGCCGGGCGGCAGCTCAGGTAAGCGCCCCGCCCTGGAACCCGCCCGCAACCTTGTAACCTTCCTGGGCCTGGGACTCGCTCCCACCACCTGGGCCACCGGCTGCGGCTCCGCTTATTTTTGTTGTAGCTTTTTTTAAAAAACCAAACGGAATCGTCCTTGAATAATGCTAATTAAATCAATTGACTATGTTTAAGAAAGATTCTTTTCTAGAAAGCTAGGGCGTGGAAGAAGGGAAAGATATAAAACGGTCCTCCTTCACTTGGAACCGAGCGCTTCTGGCCGCAGCAGCAGCTGGTCGTGCCCAATGACGGTGCTTTGCGGGTTGAGCCAACGCACTTCTACGCCCCTGTTCGTTTTTGAGATTGCCACGCCTGTTGCCAGAAAGGGGCAAGTCCCTCAGTCAGTGTCGAGCGCCTAATACCTGTATGTTTTTAAGGGAATGAATGCCTATGTTCCATAAACAAAGCCAAACATTCTAGAAGCATAGGGAAACGTAACCGCTCTTCTGTACCCACCAGTCTTTTATTTCTGAAACTAGAACAGTTGCATGCATCCGCGATACAAGCCTACATTGCGCTATTTGTAGTCTTACTTAAAAAAAAAAGTCTTCATAAATTCGTATGCGACTCCGCGGCTGGAGGTGCAGGCTTAATATATCGCACAGCTGTTAATTTTGGTTTCTTTTTTGGTAGCGGCGCTTAAATACTCATTTGCTTGGTTTCCATCCCGGTAAGGAAGTGTAAACACAAGAAATACAAAAAATAGCACAACGGGCAAAGTCCCCAAAATCCCGCGCAAACCAGGCGGTTGTGGGCAGGCCAGAGCCCCCGGGGGAACTCGCGGCGCGAGGGGTCCAGTC